TTCATTTGCCACCTCCCAAGTCATCTTTCCACCTTCATTTGCCACATAATCCAATCAGCCCCTTTCAGAAGCCCGGGAGCTATTGTCTACACCAAGCCGGGTTTCTCTAAAGCAGCCCGAGTTGTTTTTGTCTCGTCCGGACAAAACTGGTTGGCTTAAAAGGGGAGGAAAGAAAGTGCTGGTCAAACGAGGACCCCAATTAGCTTCCAAGAGACTTGTTGTCATCATCTTTGTATCACATTCCAGGCCTGGTGTGCGGGGCATATTGTAGGCAGTCCGGAAAATGTTTGTTGAATTAATTCTGTTTTTATTTCTTCTGGAATTTATTTATTGAGTGCAAACACACAGCACCTAGTGGGTGCTAGCTGTTATTACTGCTGGGGGGGGGGCGTGAGGGGGGGACAAGGCTGGGCATGTGATAATGAGGGACAGCCTCCTGGTGTTAAGTATCTCGCAATTTCCACAGCAATTTACAAAGCACTTTCATAGTGGTTACATCATTTGGCCTTCAAAAGCGCCATGTGGGGTAGATAAACGCGGGTGCTTTTTGTGTTGCTTTTTTTTCCCCCCCTAATCCCCATTTAGGCCATGAAAAGAACTGAGACTCAGAGAAGTTAAGCAACGTATTTAAGGTCACACCGTTATTGAGAGGTGGGACCAGCACATCGTACCAGCATTGGGGCCACCCAAGACCCCCAAGACCACCCCGGGCAGCTGGGATCTCAAACAGGCTGTCCCATTGTCAAACGTTGGAGTGGAAATCAAAAGGCTCCGAGTGTAACTCGGGGGCGGGGGGGGAAGGGGCAGCCCCCAGTGGCACCCGGGGTCCAACTCTGACCCCTTCTCTTGCCAGGAACGTGACAAAACGCTCACACTCCTCCAAGCCTCAGCAACCTCACTCTAAGTGTCACTCAGTTCTGTCTTCTTGCCCTCTACCTTTTAAAATGACTCAAACCGAGGCCACATTCACTCTCATTTGTAAACGAGGCGGCCTCGCTCACGTGGATGTCCGACAGGGCAATAACACAGGCACAGGACATAGGAAGTACTCTGAAATGACCACATGTACGTGCATATCCTGACTAGCTCAGCTCGACCCCTGGCTGAGTACAGCCCTACCTGGTGCACCGAGAGCCCTGCGGACTGGGCTTGTCCGGAGCGCTGTGGAAGAATAAACGAGAAGCGTGAGACAGGTGATGAGAGGGGTGAGGGGGATGTGGCCGACCAACCTGTTTGGAAAAACATTAACTGACCGCCTCTTCTATGCCTGGCCTTACCGGCTTCCCAGTATCGGACCAACACTCACAACACCCTGGGAGGTTGCTTTGCTCGATCCCGTTCCCCAGAAAGGATGAGGAGATCTCAGAGGAGGTGGGGATGCCCCTGGCAGTTCGGTAGCATGGCCTCGGGGCACATGCTCCTTCCAGAAGCCCATCCGGGGCCTTGGAATTGCCAGGGAGATGCTGGTTGAGCCCTTGGCCCAGGTCTCCCTCCTGAGAAGTTCCCAAAGGGACCCTTCCTTTCAGACCATCCTGGGGGTGGTGACGGGGTGGATTGAGAAAGACTGACACCTCCCTGGGGATGGTGAAACCTCCAGGTTGATGGAAGGTTAACAAAGCAGACACACATAGAAAAGCAAAGCATCAAGGCAGAAGCACATCGAAAGTCCAAGGTTAACCAGCACCCCCTCACTAGGGCACTGGTTTCAACACTTAGCCAAGAGGGACAGCTGGGTGGTCAGTTCGGGTCCTCTTCATCCTTCGGCGTCCTGCGGGGGTGGTCACTGCCCAGGGGTTGCTTTGTTTGCTGGTGGGATCCAGGAACCCCTGCTCCTGGCGTCCTCTGCAACAGATCAAAGGTTAGAAGGCCAAGTCTAGGTATCAGTTAAAATTGAAATTAATTAGAACTAAAACTAATTAGTTTAAAATTTAAATTGTCTTTTAATTGCTAATGGGCCGGGGGGTGGTGCAAGCAGGGTGGTAGGGTGGTAGGGGTGGGGGGTTCTGCCCACGGTGTTGGGTTTCAGTTGCCACCAGGATGGGTTGAGGTACCATAAGACGGAGGTGAGCGGCAAGCACCTGGGCATCAGCTCGTCATCCACAGGTGGTCCTTGGAGGCAGGGAATCAGACGGAAGGTGTCATCCTTTTAGACCCTGGGCAGGGGAAAGGGGGCACAATTAGAAACCGTCTTGATGACCTCTAACGGCCAGCAGGGGAACAGCAGAGGGAGGGAGGGGGCAGTCCGAGGGAGAGGGAGGAGGCAGTGAGCAAAGAGGAGGAGGGAGGAGGGGGAGGAGGGAGGAGGGGGAGGTGGGAAGGGGGAGGAGGGAGGAGGGGATGAGAGGAAGGGGAGGGGAAAGAAGGGTGAGGCAAATGGGAAGGAAGAAGGAAGGGGAGGGGAGGAGGGGGAGAGGGAGGAGGGGGAGAGGGAGGAGGGGGAGAGGGAGGGGAGGAGGGGAGGGGGAGGGGAGGAGGGGGAGGGGGAGGAGCGGAAAAGGGAGGAGGGAGAGGAGCGGAAAGGGGCGGAGGGAGAGAAGTGGGAGGGGGTAAGGAAAATTTGATTGACAGGGCACAAGTGGTCACGGTGTGCGCATGCGCAACCTGAAGCCTGGGTTAGCAGGCCGAGAGCCATTTGCAGATACAGACCGCTAGGGGGCGCGCGGCCAGCACCCAGAAGCTGGGAGCAGACACCTGCGCGCACCCCCGCCCCCGCCCGGCCCGCAGCTGCCAGGGGCACAGCTGGCGTCAGGCGGAGGGGGCGCCCAACAGGTCTCAGGCCTACGGAAGTGGGGGGGGGGGGCAGAGCCCACCCCAGCCAATCACGCAGGGCCGCTGGGTCCCCTAAACGCCACGCTGGCCGACGCCAGCCAGAATCCACCTGTGGATTCTATGGGGGGCCGCTCGCCCCCCCCCATACAGGTCCTGAGGTCCTTCTGCGCCCCCCAACTGCAGGGGTCGATCTGGCACCCGACAGAGCTGGGCATTTCAAGGGACAGTCGCCATAGGCGTCTTTCCAGAACAAGATTCCACTTTTGGTGGGTAAAAACACCGAAATCTTGGCGCCAACCTCCAGAAAATGGAATTAAATTAAATTAAAGTGATAAAGGTCCAGTTTTCAATACACTATTTTCACACACTTATGTGTCTCTGGACACATGATACAAAATACGGTACCACTAGGAAGTAAAATAAAGGTAGCCAAAACCATCTAAAATTACCCAGACCACCACCGAGTCCCCCACCCCACCCCAAATCTCGTCTCCTTTTCTCCGCCACAGTAAGAATCTCAAGACCCGCGCACGATGGCGCCTAATTAACCGTTTCACAGCTTCTCCATCCTACCCAGATGAGCCACACCTTCTCAGACCCTCAAAACCCAAACCGACCGAAATAAACTCATCTATGTCCACGCTCTTCCACGACGCCCTAGGTCACGCAATCAGCGCCGACCACGGCATCGCGACCCAGAGCGAAATCCTGCAACGGCTCCCCCAGGGAACCCGGGGGTCTTAAAACATTTCTCCCCTAGGTAGATGCACCCAGAACTCTCCAGGAAATCCCGCGCCCGACCCCCTCCAGCAGGAGAACAAAGGCCACCTCCCCTCCCCACCCCGCCCCCCAAAATTCCGCAGTGCCGCGGGCGCCCTCTGGCGGCCAACGAGAAAACCTTCCAGAAACCTGCCACGTAGCAACCCGCTCGCGCTCCCCCTCCCCAAGCCCGCCGGCCCACCGTGAGGAGGGGGCGGCGTGGGGGGGTGCTTGACAGGGACAAAGGAAACGGCAAGAGGCGGCTCGATCAAAAATCAAAAGCCCACAACACGTCAGAACCTTCCAGGGACCATCGCGCAACACCGAGAAGACCCCCCGATCCCCCAGTTCTCCACTCCCAGAGCCCAGAACTCCCCCAACACACCCCCCTTTTCTGTATTTCTCTCTTCCCTTTTGACCAGCCCCTTCCAGACCCAAGGACACAGCCTTCCCTCCACCTCAACCCACCCCCTGCCTCTGTTCTGCATGCGCCCCCAATCACTTGACCCGCTCCCCCCCACCCCAGCCGCCCTCCTGCACGGAACCCGTCCTCGGGGGGGGTGGGGGGGGGCTTCTGGACGGTTTGCACTTGGGCGCCATATCTCTCCACTATTTTAATAAACCAGAAAATATCTGGTAGCAGTGCTACTGTTTGAATTTTGACTGGAGTAGGCTTTGCACTAACCTGTGTACTTCGATTCGGAACCCCTAGCGGATAAGTACCTCCACTCCTGACGCCTACAGCCACCAAGAACCTGGCCAAAACTAGCGGGAAAATATGCCCGGGAGACTCTGGCATTCGGGGGGCTTCCCCCCACTTCTTAGAGAATGCAGAATGCATCCACCGCCACGTCTCTCGCCACTCGTGATTCTCAAGGTGGCTTCAAACCCAGAAAATCTCGGTTTTGGACCGCGGTGACCACGGCACACTGGCCTCTGACAGGGGGTTGGTCAGATTCCTCCCACTCTTCGTAACTGAAGCCACGACCACCCAGCCTAGCCTCAGTGACCAAACTGGAGAGGGGCCCTGTGATTCTTTTTTTTTTTTTTCTCCCGTCCTCCAGGAAAATGTGCCTCGACACTTTCCTTCCCGACACGATTCCGTCGCCGACGCTCGGGGACCAGGCGAAGTGGTCGCCTTCAGGAGTCGGTCTCGGGTATCTATCTCGCGGCAGGTCCAGTAGGACGGAGACCAGCCCAGAAGGGGGTGTCGTCTTCCTTTTGCACATCCTTTCGGGCAAAGGATGGCCAACCACTCACCGGGAAGGGAGGTTCTCGCGTGGGCGCCCGGGCTCTCCGGAGGAGCAGCGGCCCAGGCCAGCGGGCCAAGGCGCGCTCCATCCCAGCTCTCCGCCGTCTGCGCTAGGGGCTGGCTGGGTGGGGTTTATATGGAGGCGCAGAAGGGGTGGTCTCTGACGTCAGTGCATTCTGCTGCAATGCGCTCATTTCTCCAAAAGTGATTGGCCGGAAAAATGAGCCCCCCAGATTCTATGACAAATTGCTCTAGCCGCACCCAGATTGCAGCAAAGAAGGGAGGAAAAAATTCTGCCGCAGTGCCCCTCGCCGCCATGACCAACACCCTGAGCTCGCTGGTGCTTTTTCCCTCCACGAGCCCCTCGCGCCACGCGGGGGAGATTTCTGTGCACGATTTGCTGGGAGCCCTCGACAAGGGGTGGTTGTCCTCAGGCGGGCGGAGGGCAAAGCTGGGGCGCTGGGGGCGGCAGATCGCACACCTGGCTATTTCGGAACCTCTATCAGAGGATGCAGCTTAGGGAAAGAAAATGATGCTTTCTGCTTATTGTCCTGGGAAATAAAATGCCTAGGCGAGACAAGCGGCACCCAAACGTAAGTCGGCGGCTGTCACTCCCTTTTAGCCTACCCGTCCTTTTCTTATCAGGAGACTCCATAGTGCACCTCCGAGTCAGAAAAACCGAGTTGTGAGTTCCCGGCTCTGCCGCTTACGGTCTGGGTACCCCCAGAACCCGGCAATGCCCCCCTCCCCTGCCAGGAGGTCCGTTTCCTCCACTTTAAAGAAAAGCGGGGGCACCCCTAAGAAAGGGAGTTGTAGTAATCTAGACTCGAGATGTGTCCCTATAGGGAAAGTACTTTTCAAGGAGGTCCGTGTCCCACCGGGAGATACGTAGGGCACCCCCCTCCAAATTTGAGATCACTTCCCCACACATACAACTTTGAAAAGCGCCCCCCCCCACCCCCGGGGAAACAGGCAGCGACACATGTTGCCGCAGACCAGAGCTTCACGGCCTCGGACTCCGGGACTTGGCACATGAGATTTAATCCTTAACAGGTGCTGCCTTCGGCATCTCTGCCGGGCACCGAGTGGCAGAGTGGGCAGAACCGTCAATCAAATGTCCTCTCGCAAAGGTCAAAATGCTGTTGAAAGGGACTAAGGATCTATCTTAGGGCGACAGGTGGGTGGCAGCCGGGAGGACAAGGATGAAGCGCCTGGTGACAGAAGAGGGGTAAGAATGAGCGACGGCTCCCTAAGGGGAAAGGCAGAGGGGCCCCGCAGGAGGTATCAAGTTAGAAGGGGCTCCCTTGCACTTCTGGGGAGCTTCGGAGCCAACAACACACCCGCCCCCCCGCCCTCGCCCCGCGCCGTGGCCAGCGATCCTGTAGGTGACTATAAAACTGTCGGGAGATTCTTGGGCAGAAAAGAAGGGACTGAGCCATTTGTGAGCCCACCACTGGAGACAGGGAAGTGAAAACGGACCACCCGGTCGCACGAGACACCGAGCCTTGGGCAGGGGGCTCATTTACAGGCGGGCTGTTGGGCAGATGAAGATAAACTGGCCTTTGGGGTCCATGGCGAGGAGCTACCTTAAAGTGTCAGATAACATAAGAGGGGGACGAGAACCCCATTTACAGCCTGGTTGAGAGCGTGCAAAGTACCCCTGAGACTAGAGCCCCGGCCGCGGGACTTGCAAAACTGAAAGGCCCGCACCAACCACGGGTGTCAAGAAAGCTTCAAAAAATCATGGCTCCGAGCATCCTCGTCAACAGGAGAGCATTTATTAGCCATGGTATTAATAGCTAGGAAACAGCCGGAGCCGGCGGGGACCAATCAGCGGCCAGGAGCCCCTGTCGTCAAGCCCGCGCGGCCAATCAGACACCCGCAGGCCCGGTTGCTAGCCTCTGGGGGGCGGAGGAGAGGGGTGCGCATTGTCATGGGGGCGCCAGCTCGCCCTCCGCGCGTGGGAAGTCTGCGTGGGAGCCGAGGCGGCCGCCAGAGAGCGTCAGTAGTTGCGCGCTCGGGGTCCCCGGAGGCTGTTCCAGAGACGGCCTCCTGGCGTCATTCCTGCAGCCCCGAAAGGACATGAGCGATGCTCTGGGAGGAGCCCCCGCCTCTGGTCGGGGTGCCTCCGAGAGGCCCTGGAAAGAGAAACTCCAGATGGCCAGTGCGCATCTCCGTCCTCCAGGCCTGGCCCCCGGGAGGAGAGGTGGGCCTCCCGGCGCAGAGTCCGCCTCTCTGCTTTTTTTCTGGGCTCCTTGGCTCCTCGGCCTGCTGCTCAGAGCTTCGGAGTAAATCCCACTCCTCTTTTTCAAGGTCTCAGTGACAGGCCAAGGTAAAAGACCCTGGAAAGCCTGTGTTTCCGACAAAAGCGCCGCGGGTTTGAATCCTAGCTCTGCTCCCTCTTTAACTGGGAGGCTGCTGTCCAGGCCTTTCACTCTGGGCCCCTATTTCCTCATCTGGAAAAAGGAAAGAGTTGGACAAGATGGTCCCCAAGGAGCCTTCCAGTCCTGCTCTGCTTGATTTGAATGTATACATCAGGCGAGTCAAATGTCTTCCAGAACATTCTGCATGACAGTAATTAGTATCAGGTGTATCCTGCCGTCCATGTGGTTACTTCATCATGCTGCTTTTCTTTCCATTGTATTTTATTTTAAACAGAACTCCATGGCAACATGTTTATCCTTCTGGCTTCCTAAAAGAAAGAAAGAAAAAGATAGAGGAGGGAAAAAGGCAGAGAGAAAGACAGACTGCTGTAAACTAATCTCTACTGAGCTTGGTTTAACCACACACACACACACACACACAGACACACACACAGAGTCCATATGTTTAAATGTTTTTGCTGGCTTTTCTGGAGTTCAGAACCTAACTTTTAAAATATTTGTTGGTCCAAAGCAAAAAAAAAAAAAGAACTTGAACGAGCTAACTCTATGATAATATTTGGATCCAAACTGCTTCTCAATCTGAACAATGTCATGCAAGCTTCACTTGCTGGAAAAAAGACATATGAGGGCTCAGATTCATATCGATAGGGCAAAACAGACAAGGAAATCCAAGTTTGAGAAATGGCTCACTTTCTTTCTGTACATGCTAAAAGCCAACTCTCCTGAAGATCCCTGGAGGAGAGCCAGTGGCCCAGACGCACAGCTTAGCCTGCTGCCTCTTTTTCTTTCTCTTTTTTCACGTAGATCTAATTCAAAGCATACATTTTTCTTCTTTTTTAAATTCATTCTTGGGAGCCCTCAAAAGCCATGTGAGCAGTCTCCTATCCACATGTACATACTTGTGGGCAAGTAGACAAACGTCCTAAGATTCAGCCAGGAAATGAAGACAAGCTCCTCCCATAGCCATCTTCCAGGCGTTGGTAAATGTGTTTCCTTATTCAAAACCACGCTCAGGCTTTTACTGCTCAGTGACCCCTGAGTGCCTGCCCCTCCAAGCGGACCTTCTCAGTCTTCCAGGTAAAATGCTCGTGCTCCCCAGAGATCTCTCCTCCGGACCGTCTTCCTTCCACACGTCCCGAGGCTGGCCACAGTGATGGCTGATGCTTCTGCCTTCATGATGCCTAGCTCCAGTGCCAGCCTCTGGCAGTTCAACCCCCCCAAATCACACATCCCTGAACCACCCTCACTCCCCCTAGACCTCATCCCAAGCCAGAGAAGCAGAAGGGCACACAGAGGGTGTTCCTGTGAACCTGCTTTGTGGTTGGGGAGACTGGAATTACGAGGTACCACCTCTGTGCCTCCTGGGCATCAAGGATTCAGGGAGAATGATCGGACACAATCCTGTCTTCTGGGATGCTGGAATTGACGGTAACTCTTCTAGAACAATGGCAACCCGCTCCAGTATTTTTGCCTGGAGAAATCCATGGACAAAGGAGCCTGGCAGGTTATAGTCCACGGGGTCGCAAAGAGTCGGACACGACTGAGTGACTGTCACTCACTTCTAGAACACACACTCGTCTGTGACTGCTACACTAACCACCTTTCAAGAACTTGATTTTGCCTTCAACACAGAGCCTAAACACTTGAGCTTGGCTTTTAAGGACTTGTAGGAGGGATTCCGTTTTTTCTTTCTGCTCTCACTTATCCAAACACAGTTCCTACGCACTCGCCCTGCACGTGGGAGGCTCGGTGGTCCCTGCGGTGTGTGGTGATCCTGGGGTTGGTGAGCAGGGAGCCTCACAGCTTCTTGATCACATGTGGATTTTCTACCCACGACCCCAATGTCAGGAGCATACTGCTCCCTGGAAACCTGAGCTCCAGGTGCAGCCCCAACCTTTGCATAGAAGAGTTTGCCAAACTGTAGATATTAAAAGACAAATAAAATGCAGCGCCTTTCATGAAAGGCCACGGATCAAGCTGACTTCCCAGTAGACTGCTGGCCTTCCAGGCAGTGTGTTATGTGTTTGACTCTGGGGTGTGTAGCGTGGGGGAGAGAGGGTAGGCACTGCTCTTTAGAGATCCTTTTCATGATTAGAGCCAATGAAAAGGAGCTGGAAGGTAATACCTCCAAATTACCCCCAAACCATTAGCTCTTCTCGGCGAATAAATTCTGAGTGGTTTGTCTTCTTTCCACTTTTATGGATTTCTCTACTGACATGTATTGCTTTTATTTTTCTTTGAAAATGCAGCAATCCAAGAAGACTGACCAGTTGAGCCTCTTTCTGACGGGCCTCAAATAGGAATATTCTTCTAGTAAGTAAATAAAAATCATGAGACTCAGGACTCCCCTCCTGAGAAGTTCAACGCACTGTCTTGGATCGTAGCATTTGAGCATGGGGTGGGTGTGAGGGGGTCCAGGGGCAGCGCCCCAGTCACACTTGCTATCTGGAAAGTCTCTCTTGATTCCATCACGGAGGTGAACAAATTCCAAGCTGATAACAACAAAAGAAATGGAATGTCAGTGGGTGCCCACGCACAGAGGGACCTAAGGAAATTCATTTACTAGGGGACGAGGCAGGCCAAGAATGGGTCTTGGTGAGGAAACCCACCAGCACAGGGCAGATTTTAGAAGTCACATCCTGATACCAGGAGAAGGTGGCCACGTTGCCCAGCCACGCCCCCACCCAGCCCCCCTGGCTCTGGGTGTGGGCCAGCCCGGATTCAAGCAAGGGGTTTTTTTGGCCCAACTCCATGGAAATATTTCCTTCGGTGGAGCAAAGAACTGCTTCATTCAACTGCCTGCGGCTAGGGAGGGGGCTGGCTTTGCTATGTTGACAGAACTGCAGAGGTCTGGGGAGGGGCCCCCAAGGAGAAAATGTATTCCAGGTAGAACAGGACTGGAAAGTTCGCTTTTTTTTTTTTTAAACTAAAAGGTTGCTGACAGTTGAAAAACTGCCACCCCACCCTAGAGGCCCCAGGAGAAGACATCTGTGCTAGATTTCAGCAAGGTCCATCGCAAAGACCTGTCTCCTTAACAACCAAGGAAAGGGGACCATTTGCAGTCTCGCTTTGGTTTAAACATTTACGATCTGGATCCTTCCAAAGCTCACGGTTGGCTTCCTTGGGCCAAGTCTGC